ATATATATATATATATATATATATATATATATATATATAAAGACAGATGACGTCTTATGTGGCTTCCAATAACTATACACTACACATGCACCTATCAAACATAGATCATATCAACCTTTGCATCCAAGAGCATATGCTTAGGCATATACTTGTGTATTAAGCACGGATAATAATAGTTCTATGCTAGTATTACGATACAGTAGTTAATTAGTCTATTCATATTGGTCCAAACGATAAATCCGATGATTTCCGATGGACTACATTAATGTAGTAGTTGCATTTTGCCCTAGCATTGCAAAACTCATTGATTTATATGGGTTTTTTTGAATTGTTGCATTTTAAATGCATATTAAATTGACATTCCTTTGAAAAATTATTGTTTGAGAATTCATTTTATACTACTATAACAGCATTTCTAATATTATTTAATGATTCATAACTATTTGAAATCTTTCTGAAATATTAATTATCTGTAGAAAAATTCATCTTCAGTATCTGTGTTGCTCTATGTATGCATGCATAGCTTTGAGAAATTGTTTCATTTCTAAGTCAATTAATTGTGTCATATATATACGTTTTTTTTCCATTCTACCACGCAACACAACACAACACAACATAGCGTCAGTAAAAAATATTCCAAAGAAAGCTTGTAAAAAATAAAGAGGATTTTTTTTTATTAACTTTCAACGTTGAAATGTTTTTTTTTTCGTGTTGTTCAGAAAAACAATATAAAAATTATTTTAGCTGTGCACACAAATGCTGATCATATGATTCTTATTTACTTAACGGAATGAATGTATTTATTATATCTCATCTTAATATAATCATTAAAACACATGACTCAATGTAAGAAAATGATTTCAGAAATATGCCATTTTTTTGATGGAAAATATTTTTTTTCCACTTGTTATTATATCACTTTTGTCATTTACAATTCCGTCGGTTTAATTTTTTTTTTTGAGTAAGCTGATTCCTTTGCTCTTCAATGTGGTGTTTAAATCGAGTTTTTGTCTTTATAACAAAAATTTACGAAAAACCATGTTATACTTGACAAATATTTCGTTATACTTAAAAAGACCTATAAGTTGTGGTTTGAAATTATGCTTTTTAGGAATGAAATGAAGATGAACAGCTTAAAGTAGTAAAGATGAGCCTACCAAGTACCATATCTCAGTGTCACAGTTACAAAGCAAAACGTGTATGATTGTGACGACCATTATTTGTATGTTCGTTAATTTTTATGAAAATTTAATTATGATGAACACATAAAGAGAAAAATAAACTGCATTGAAAATCGATTTCATCCGATTGCAATGAAGAAATTTGGCGAGTCAAAATTTCTGGTTAGTAATGTTAGATTGCAATTAGGGGTTAGGTTTAAGAATTGGTGTAAAGGAAATTTGTGGAGGTGTTTCGTTCTCTGAGCTGGTTATTTTCGTTGTGGAGCTTTGATTGTTCTTCTAAACAACATCATCAGCACAAACTTCAAACAGAAGTGAAGCATTCGAATTTCTCCACGTTTGACCTGTAGCTTGTTCTGCTAACCTCGATATTGATTGGTTGCTGTTGACTTTTGGCCTGTCGTTGTTTGCAATCAATCAAAATCGAGGTTAGCAGAACAAGCTACAGGTCAAACGTGGAGAAATTCGAATGCTTCACTTCTATTTGAATTTTGTGCTGATGGTGTTGTTTAGAAGAACAATCAAAGCTCCACAACGAAAATAACCAGCTCAGAGAACGAAACACCACCACAATCATCCACCTGAGCTACAAGTTTTCTGCACCATCTCATAAAGGAAATTTTCCAATCGTTCAATGAATAGTTATTTAATATCAAATCGTATAAAAACATCTTTAAATTTCTCAGCCGCTAGTTAGACACAGATTTACCCAACCGACCATTATCCAATCATCAATCATGCATATTCTACGATGATTAGACTGTTGCCTATTCACTTAAAATTAATGTTAATAATTTGAGAATATTTTATTTTTGACTTAATGATTGAGACATATTTTATATCAAAAATACAACTTGACATCCATTGATTAGATCTTGTAAGCTAATCTCATGAGTGTACAATTCTCCTCTAGTGATTTCCAGTGAATAATGACAGTTGCTATAGAACTCTGTGTAGATAAGCTTGATAAGTAAATTTATATCAACATAGTGAAAAATTGTAGATAAATGAATGTTAATATTAACTATTAAGAATAATTAGGGATATTATTCGGATAAATATTATGCGCAATACTGACTGATATCATATTTAAATAATCAATGGGAATCACTGTGTTCACTTATCACTTCAAACGGTGTGCGAATCCGCACTATTCAGCTTTTAGGCTAAACACAATACATTGTAATAAGGAGAATTAAGAGTTAATAATATGGATTTTAAAATTTAAGACAGTTAACGTTTATAACAAAATGATTAATTTTTGAAAGACGTGAGTGACAATCTTTTTACTACATTTCGATATGGATAAACTCTATGCTAGTCACAAGTTCTGATTGAACACTTTGCTTCTTTATCGTGAAGACTGATTTTTATTCACCATGATTGTCATTGTATCACTGAATTTAAGTGTTGTGAAACTAAACTACTCTCTCATGTATTCACAAATTTGGTCTATTCAGAGATGGTAGAGAAAATTTGTAACTCCAGTGGATGGTTATGGTGTGGTTTCGTTCTCTGAGCTGGACGTTTTAGTTGGACACTCGAGAATTTTTAGAAGCTTGTCACTCTCGTCAGGTGGCAATCAATCAAACCACATCGACATTGACCCAATTTATCAATCAATCAAAAAAATCAGAGACAAGACACAGGCAATGACAGGTTAAAGTTCAATAACTACCAATCAAGTTCAAAGTCAACAGGATAAGCTACGAGTCATACTCCACCGCTACCTGAAGTTTGTGCTGATGATGTTGTTCAGAAGAATAATCAAAGTTTCACAGCCAAAACGTCCAGCTCAGAGAACAAAACTCTACCCTACGATCGACTAACTGTTTTTCTATATTTCATGAAAGTAATATGCTTTTCACATTATATTAATCAGGACTCAAACTAACATAGATTTGTGGCTTTTATTCACAGTAATATTACTCGATTATTATCCTTATTACTATTGTTATCATTATATACCATAGTTTTAAAATAATAATAATAATAATGATAATAACTAACAATTAAATAAAAATATACATTGAATGTTTTACTTAAATGAAAAGATTAGTTTTGTTTACAAATTATTTTTGACCTAAATTAATTCAATGACTATTTTTTTTCAAATTCGCATATATTAAAAGATAACACAGTCGATGATAATTTCTTCGTCCTAGTTAATATCATCACTGTGATTAATCAAATCAGTGTAAATCTAATTAAGAAACAGATAGAAAATTAAAATGTTTGTATTTTTCTGTTGCAAACATTATTATTATTATTATTATTATTATGATTATTATTTCATCTAGGCAAGATTTGGTGTAATGTTCTTTGTTGTTGATTATATCAAAAGACGAAAAACCACGATGTATGATTAAAATCATAATTTCTTTCTGTTAGTAATTACAATTTATGTTTTCTATTCTTGTTTTAATGTTCTATTTTTTAATATTTGAATATTTTTAGCGGTGCAATTTGAAATCAGTTTCTAATTTTTAATCCCAAAGAAATATTCCTTTATTTATGTATATGGATATATATATTTGTGTACGATTTTTATTTATGATTCTAGATTATTTTTCTAATCTCGTTAACAATATAAAAATAACAATATTTGTAAATGCTTATGTTTTATTTGTTTTAATCGAAAATCATTTTCTTTCTTAATTGACAAGTTTTTTTTAAGTTCATTTTCTTTTAATTTGTCAGTATTTCTGCTCTTAGTTTAAAGGTTAACTACAGCACAAAGTGATGATCTCGAATGGAGAACTACTTAAAATTTATAAAGAACTGAGTTTAATCCTCCACTGTTAGGGGTTGTGATTGAGAACTTCTAAGATTTTTTTATACTTGGACGAAATAGCTATCTGGTACTTCATAATATTCAAAAGTTTCCTAACTAAACTTATTCTGTCATGTAAACTTTACAAGAAAGTTGTATTAGTTGCTAGCTTTATGATCAACTATGTGAAATTGCAAGTTGATGAATGTTTTTAAATGTGAACCATTTCAATTCTAACTTCGTGATCTAGTTAATTTGTTATGTATCACGATGAACAGTATAGCTAGGACTTAAGATATAACAAATATTCAGAGCTGTGTCCTCTTGTATTTTTTTTAGATGTCTACCAGTTGTAATATCGTTATAAATAAATCAAACTATGTGCGAAGCAGATGTAATGAAAATAGTCACCCAAGCATTTGATTTGTTTTCTAAATGATATTGATAATTACAGATCTAAAATACTAATTTATTTCATTAGAGTAATAAAAATAATAAACACCTAATCGTTAACCTTATTTCTGAAATTAGAATAAAAACAAGACATATTTCAAGCATATATTAACTCTAAAGAATGAATATTTATTTCTAAAAACTATTTTACCTCTTGATGAAGACATGAAGAGGGAGAACAATTTTTCTGATAAATATCTTCAAATGGCTAAGCTAACATGTGTAGATTTTGAATTTCCAAACGTTGATAAAGTAAAAATATTAGAATACAAACTTATCCATTTTCATCGAAGAAAATATCATCAATTACTTGTTTCTTTAAAACATAATTCTGTTTCAAACGATTTCCACTATATATCATTTCCTGATCAAGGTCATTCTAACAAAATGCACAGATCACTAGTTTCAGGTCATTGAAGATAAATTTACACTGCATGTAATTAATTCTAATGATGATCCTCAAAAAGTTATAATTTCATGTACTTTTATAGATAAATGTTTATTTTTCTTTATACACACACTAATTATCAGTTCTTAGTTATTTTGTTACTCTATTGAATACTTTCAATTGTTTCTTGTTTTATAATTTTTAGATAAGCAACACTTCATTAAGTCCACGAAAAATTATGGAGTGTAATACTAATCTACGAAAAATATTGACAATATTAGCTTCCATTATTATAATACTTAGTTTCATTGGATTGATAATTATTATTGTTTTGTATATTCTAAGTACTAACATTCCAGATGCGGTAAGTTTTTATGTTATCATTGTTATTTTGAATTTTGTGAAATATTTTTTTTTGGGAATTTTTATCAAGTGTTTTATTCATTGATATTGTTTGAATCAAGATTATTTTTATTTCTACAACTCATTGTATAATTAGAGAGATGTTTACACTTAATTCAGTATAAAAAAGTATTATTTATTTAAAAATCACTTGATACTCAATTACTTAGTCAATCATATTGAACTTGGAATGTTTACAGAAGCTTTTGTAATATGGTGAAACGAATGTAGTGAATGACAAGAGAATTATGATAGTGAGAGAGAATATTGTTAGAAAAAAGAAGAAAATAAAAAGTATCTTTGAAGGAATACTGTTATAGTATTCTCTAGGTATCCTTAAACCTATTATGGGTTCACCTTAGTCGAATAACGAGAACAAAACAATGAACCAGCATCCAGATAGGCTAATGTGATCCCTTGACCCAAGAAGAAGTCTTGATATAGCGTAGAAGGTGTATTCTACAAACACCCAGCCAGTACACTAAAATAACACAGTGACCAATCACAGCCAAGGATTTTCTTGATGTGAAATGTGATCTCAAGGTCAGCTGATCGGTCCATGAAATAAATCCGAAATAAAGATATTTATCAAGCGAGTTCTGGGGATCTGACATCCCCCAACAAATACCGATACTGGAAATCTAAGGAAAGATGAAAATGAATTACATCTGTTATTACGATCGATTCTGAATCCTGTCAGTCATTGTCAACAACCATTGATCGTGCTTATCACGGGGATCTCAACCAGGTAATCTGACTTCGAAAACAAACTAAACGCAGTAGAGAATTCCAATCTATATTACAGTAGTAGTGATACTTTGTGTTCTAATGATGTTATCATTGTTGATGTTGATTTCAATCATATTCCGTTCATTATTTTATAGTATTCAGTAGTGATTGACGCAGGATCAACTTCTTCAAAACTTCATTTATATAAATGGGTCGATGAACCGTTCCGATCAAATGGAAAAGTTTCAGAAGTTGCTAGTGAAAAAGTTTGTAAGTAATTTATTTCATTATAGCTGACATCTATTGTAATTCAGTTTCTTGAAAAAGAAATGTGTTATTGTTTATTTCCATTACTAATCATTTTACTAATTGTTAGAAAAAATCAAACTAGTTCGATTCAGAAGAATTTTTTTTATTATGAAAGTGTTTTTCTTACCTACATTGGTTAGTTTAAAGTAAATTTTGGTCAGTAAATATTCTACTACATTTTACTAACCAGATACATGATTCACTCACTTTCACATCTACATCCGATCCTCCATTTTTGCCAATGATTCTCAATGCGTACATAGAGACTTGAATGTCTTCCAGAGATTCGGTAACAAGAGCAACTATTTCGGTACTCATTAAACTTTATTTCAGGATCTTTTTCCTTTTGTGAATGTCAAAGCCTGTTTCTGCGAAAGTCGCTGCTTCATTATCTGTTTCTGTTGGTATTTGGTACTATGTAATGAATAACAAATAAATAATCTAATATCAAATTCTAAATCACCCAGCTTTGTTGAATGCTTCACCATTAAACCACTGTTATACCTTATATCTAAGCCTTTCAATACGTTGGCTGGTGAAGTTGAGATGTAAGTTCTAAATGAAATCGAAAATCATCATAAAAAGAACTTAACATAAAACATATAATTTAATATAGTCAAGATAGATGCGTATCTTCTATGTTAAAAAATAATATAGAGTAAATGTAGTGCTCTTATAGTCACTAATTATCACCATTCGTCCTAGTATGGAACTTTACAGCAGTGTACATCCGTGTGACTGGAAATCAGACCCAGGACTTAGTCGCTTAATCGCTAAACCACTGAACTGAAATACAATCGCGGACACATCTAACTCCAGTCAATTCACAATATTGAGTTATTACCTTTCACTGTGTTCAGTGAGTAGGTTGCTCACACCTAATACAGCTGAAGTATTCTAGTCACGGCTTCTTATAAGACTTGTCTAAAATGAGAAAATATAAATCCATGCTGTATATACTCACGTGGTATTGTAAAAATTTAATAACATATGATTATACTAAACATCAACAATTTCAAACCGAAATGCTGCACTTGTTGAAATATATTATCTTACTTGTCTTCCATTTAGATGAAAAATGGGACGATAACAACGGGACTGATGCATTCCATTTCTTATGAGTTGGAAGAGTAGTTATAACACTTAAACTGATATTAAACTCTCTTCTAAAGTTGACCGAAAAATACTGATCATTCATAAAAACATTTACAGAGTATAATTTTCGAATAGTTTTAATGTAAATGTATTGAAAATTTGATGTTGATAATTATTTATTGTACTCAAACTCACAATGATAATTAAAATTGCCTACTGTACTCATTCAACAAGGTTTGACTCATCAGTTAGTTATTTAAGGCTTTTAGTTCAATTCTTCATTCATGCAGTTTTACTTCTCTATATCATTAGGTTATATTGTGTAATATCACTCAGAAGACTTAAAATCTTAACATTTTTATCTTTTCTATTCAATAAATTTGATTGCAGTTATTCAATTTTTAATTATCCCTGAATGAGATAATGTTTCAAAACCAATAAGGCATAAATAATTAAGATGGGTGTTTCATTCTTTTTTTTGCTGATTTGAACTAAGTTTAAAATAAAAATTAGTTAATTTTACAATGATGCTAGGTTTGTCTGAATTCTGGTGCATTAAAAAACTTCATGAGATTTTTATCGTGTACCTAGCAACGTTGCTAGGTATCCATTAACATGTCGGCATTTCTAAACTACAAGTTACGTATTGTCTCAAGTGTCTATGTTTATCAGACTGTCATCTAAGTGAATAAACATGAAAATATACAGTTACATAACTAGATCTGTTGTCCTTTACAAGACTTTTGACCACACCTATGGTTTGTATATGAAAATACGATTATCTATTTAACTAATCATAATAACGTGAAGCGGTTGTTTAAAACTGTGATCTGTTCAAAGTAATCTACAGTGCATTATTTAAAAATTATTCTACTGAAAAATTTTTGGTTTGTAAAAATCTTTACTGTCATTGCACATTAGTTTACAAAGAAAACGATACTTTAAATTCCAAATTAAATAAACCTGTTGAATTACTTAGGCATATTATTCAACTTTCTTTGTCTCCTACTTTCTGCAAATAATTTAATCTATTCCAATCAGTAAACAGAACATCAATAAAACATTCTTCCTAAGAGATAGATGTTCTCCACCCAATCTCATTGAAACAAATGTCTCTTATGTACTTGAATGATTCTTTAAATTGATTTATGAATTAATTCAAACACTTGCAAACTGGATTCCTGTGTGTTGACTTATATTGTTCTGCATTTATCATCATTATAACAGAAGATTTGTAAATCTTTGATTAAATTCCTCTGATAGAAAAAGGTTTGTTGTTGTGTAACTGCTAATAAATTATATCCTAACAGTCATCCGAATAAATTATCCTATAGTGTCTAGGCTTCAACGATCTTTCGTGATAAATACGAACTTTAACTTGAGCACAAATTTACTTAACGTCAAAATGATAATTTGTAACATTTACAATAATAAAGTAACTCTTATTGTCATGTTTTTTGTTTCTTTTTTTTGACCTGTTATCATCATCCAGCACCTGGCATATCAGATTATGTTGAAGAACCATTTAAAGTTTATGGCACGTTACAAGTGAAACTTACCAAATTAACTTTAGCTTTAACAGCTGAACAAAAAAAACGTACACCAGTGTATTTAGCTGCAACTGCGGGTATGCGATTAAAATTGTAAGTTTTAAATCAACTGTTGTATCATTCCTATTAAGATTGATTTTCAATTTTCGTTAACTTTATTTTTTTCTTCATCTAATTGGTTATCAAATTAGTTAAGTTAAATTCTATTTCAAGTTTAAATATGATTTTCAATTGGGATACTCGAGATTTTGATATTTGAATAACATCGTTCGGTTTAGGTAATAATAAATATGCGTGAAATTCAAATGCAAAAAATTGTTTTTGTCTATCAAATTTTTTTTTTAAAACTTTGATGTCACATAATGCGTACGTACAACTGTGAACAAACAAAACACTTGTACAATAATAATAAAAAAGAGCGTACACTCAAAAAATATACTTGTATATTTGTGATATAAATGAATGAATTGATATAATAATAATAATAACAGCAATAATTACAAATAACACAAACCAATAACGCAAACAGATAACAAGGAATACTTCATCCCCTTCCTTATACTTTCTATCTTATGCCTCTTCAAGTTGAAGATTAAAAGAGAACACTATGCAGTGAAATTCGTTATATTACATTTGTAATCATTATTTATTTACATTAAAAACGAATGCTTGAGAAGATTTTGAGGAGAACTGAATAGTGTCTAACAGTGTAACTTAATAAGCTACGTCCAGCTGACGAGTCCCAAGTAGAACGAAACAGGTATCTTGCGTTTTGTGACTAGCTAACATTCACCTCTGCCTCTGAAATAATGCCAATATTGAGGGAATCGGCACAAGATAAACTTATACCAAAATAGGCTGATCAATTGCAATCCATTATATCAACGAAAATATTTCAACAACCGATACATATGAGTTTTTAAATGATTGATTTAATGACGTTGTAAACTTAACCATAAGATTATTTCGGGCTAAATAGCAAAATAAGTGATAAATCTGATGCATAAACACCTACATTTCACTATCGACCATCCGAAAATAATGATAACTTATTAAATACTTCTCAGTCATATGATAAAAAGGTGCTGCTAATGTAATCGAAGGATGACAATCAAAGGCTTCACAATTAAACCATCAAGTTCAAAGAACATAACATCATATGATGATCTGATGGATAACATTTCACATTACAGATTGATCTTAACTAAATAACCGATATATTTCGACTCAGTAATCTAGGGGTTGAGTGTTCACATGCAGAAATGACGGTCCTGGGTTCAAGCTTCGATTGTGGAGTCTTAGATACATTTTGTTGAGATTTTCCAAATTAGGCTAAAACAGCTGTACAGTGATTTCTGGCTTTCAACATTGGTCTAACTCAAATCGATTCGTTATATAAACATTTACCAATCATCAAAACTACTCAAATGTTCGAAATTCGTCGGCACGCTAGACAGAAACATGAAACAAAATAAACGAAAATTTTATTTGATAATAAAGTGGAATTGTATGAATACGTACTGGTTATCGGATTTTTTTAAAGTCTTTCAAGTTTCTAGATAAAGACCTATCTGAAAATGCAAGTTTTCACTATGCATACGTAGTAGTGTTTATCCGCCTTATTTAATACTTCTAAAACTATCCCTATTGATTTGACCTTCATTCGTTTCTGTGTAAAATGTAAATGTCTATCTTAAAATTGAGTATTTTTCCTATAGATAAACCTAATCGTTTTACTAATCTATCTTAACAGTGGTGAAGTAGACTAACTGTCATTGATTTAATTAAATACTTAGTACTTTCTGAAATACGATAGAACATTTATCATTCAAATAGATGAATTTTCGTGATTTTTGCTTTCTCTCTCTGACTCTCTCTCTCTCTCTCTCTGGAGTACGTTAGATATAGACAATGTGATTTGAGTAGACAACATGAATTTATAGAATTGAAACTATAAAATAGGTTTGCAAGTGAAGGTCATATGGAAGGAAATAGTAAAATTAGTTCATGTCAACATACACTCAATCTACCTTGATAAAATTATTTAGTCTAATGATTAGAAATGAACCTGAAAAAAACAGTAGTCCAGAAAAATATAAAGGCATATGAAAATGGACTAATTTATCATTTGTGGAATAATCTATTTTGGCAAAATTAGCAATTATTATCAAGACTATACAGAAATAGCGATAAGATTTTAACTGACTGGATAACCTAACTGATAGAACATAAGATCCACCATAAATCTGACTTATCCAGTATCTTGTATTCATTCAATTACATGTTGAAAACAAACGAGCATGAAATATTGTTTAAGAACTGCTAACAGGTTTCCATTTCTTTGCATACATATTCACAGCAAACACATTCGACGTATATACATATCACTGACTAGTGAACAGTACCGTGCTGGTTTTATCATTTAATGCTGATTAGATTCTGTGGATCAAGTTACAGTGTAGTTAATAGTTTGACTGACTTATCATTAGTGTAAGGTGGTTAGATGTAGTTGACAGTAAACCCTGAATGACACTCATGATTAGGGCCATCTCTAAACTTTATGAATCTGATGCTTCTTGTGGGATTCAAATCCATATCTCCCAACTTTGGAATTTATTTAATTGTTGAATAACATATTAGTTTATCTGGTATGTAGCTGGCAGTGATATCAAGAATGTGTTTTTGGTTCTATTGTAGATTTGTCAACTGGTTATACCGACAGACTAGTATTGATATTCATACAAAGATGTGAATACAATAATTCCTTCCGTCAACTAACATATATTCATCTAATAAATTCTATAATGATTAGTTCAGTCATAACTAATTTCCTCTGCTTAATTACAGCAATGATTAATTGACTACATAAGAACTCAGAGTCAATAGGATTAATCTCTTAACGTAATTTATGCCGATGTTTCATAGACCAATCATAGATAAGGAAAAAGATAGTACTGATTTATGATAAACGGTCATAATTATTTCAAATATGAAAATAAACAAGCATGAGACGACCTAATCAGTTAAATGGTAGGAAATGTGCACAAACTAGGTATGTAAGCACAATGAATTAATACATTATTACATGTCAATGCTTGAATACGATTTTACACGTAGTTCAATGAATTGAAGTTAACCAAGTCGACACTGTAGTGTAGTAGTTGTCTAGTGCTTAAAACACTTAGATTTTCACCTAATATATTATTAACCTTTTAAAGCCTACATTAACTTACTTTGGTCGGATAGTATAACTGAGCTTCACACAAAAGGTGTGGTCAAGAGTTGAGATTTGTATTTGATCAAAATAAATCAATTATATTGACACTATGTTTTCACTATCTATAAAGAGAGCTTTAAGAAAAAAATCGCTATGTAAATCAATTTAGTAGTTACCGTAATATATTATCTAACAATTTCAAATTTCTTATTATCAACTTCAAGACTATTTCAACAAATACACAATACATTTTGACTATTTAACTGAAATTGATCATATTTACATTTTCAACCTGATTCAATATTCATAAAATAAAAATTGTATTATTGTTTCTTTCCTAACTTGATCATTTCGAACTGACATCAACTCATGATCAAAATGATTGAGAAGTTTCTTTTGTAAATCATCTATCCATTGACAAATAATTGTAGTAGTAGTAGTAGTAGTAGTAATCGTAGTCATAGTAGTAGTAGTAGTAGTAGTAGTAGTAGTAGTAGTAGTAGTAGTAGTAGTAGTAGTAGTAATCGTAGTCATAGTAGTAGTAGTAGTAGTAGTAGTAGTAGTAGTAGTAGTAGTAGTATTAGTAGTAGTAGTAGTAGTAGTATCAGTAATAGTAGTAATATATAGTAATATACATATAGCATATGTGTAGTGATGTTCAATTAAACGAACAAAATTATTTGTCTTATCATTGATTCCATTAGCTTAAATAGAATACATTTTTACCAAATATCATTACGTATTAATGCTGTACTAGTTGATGTAAAAAAAGGGGGCAATATAAAATCCTTATTATTATTATTATTATTATTATTATTATTATTAGTAGTAGTAGTAGTAGTAGTAGTAGTAGTAGTAGTAGTAGTACAACTACCATTGGATGCAATCAACTAGTTATCTTTATTTTCTCATCAATTTGATCTGACTATGCATAATGCTTATAAAATGTATTATTGTAAATTATTTCCAAATATGAAATGCACTCATTTATATATATATATATATATATATATATATATATCTTATCCCTCCCTATATACGCATCAAATTATTCATTCATATGTACATTTGATATGAATTTGTCACCACCCTAGATTGTACCAAAAGGGATAAGAGTGAGAAGTCGACTAATTGCATACACATGTAAATGTAATCCATATTATTCTATCAAAATATGATTGAAATAATAGTGGGAACGAAAAAACTAGGCATTGAAAAAAAAACTACTTCATAATAGGTAATTGTCAATAAGAATACTACTAATAAAGTGCTTTTTTTCATGTGATTTCATTTAGCAAATTGAATAATATGCTTGGATAGATATACTACCGTTTTATCCTCACCAGTGTAGCTAATATTAACGAAACTAACTGCATAGAGTTTATTCTGTACAATTATCGATAAAAAAAAGAGATATTTCATCTAGGATCGATGTCAGTGGGAGGATGAGTACGATCAGCCAAATAATCCATTGAGCTTTCGTATATGAATGCAAATTTTTTTTTAAAAATTAGTCTGAAACTAGGATGAATTAATTGCTGAATATTTTCTAATTGGCTTTTAATCAATCTCTATTGGTGAATAATTTGGAATACCAAATTTACTGTCAACCATCAATGATATATATATATATATATATATATATATATATATATATATATATATATATAAGAAACAGAGTAATCTCACAGTGTATCGAGACTAAACACTAAGTAAAGTTGATTTTTTGGGGCAGAGTTTTGGAGGTTTGTGTTTTTACACATTTGAAATCATCAATCAGTCATTGTTAGATCAGTCAGAGTTAGACATTAACACTGTTGAATACCGGCCCAGTGGTCCGATGGTTAGGCGTTCGCGCACAATACCGAAGGTCCCG